ACAATCTCCACCTCCTGGGCTTAAGCGATTCTCCTGCCTCAGCCTCCCGAGTAGCTGGGATTATAGGCATGCGCCACCTTGCCCAGCTAATTTTTGTATTTTTAGTAGAAACAGGGTTTTACCATGTTGGCCAGGCTGGTCTTGAACTCTTGACCTCAAGTGATCCGCCCATCTCAGCCTCCCAAAGTGCTGGGATTACAGGCATGCACCCTCGCGCCCAGCAGGCATTTGAGTTGATTCCATGTCTTTGCTCTTGTGGATAGTGCTGCACTCTACATCCATGTTTTCCCTTGCAGTGATCTCACCCAGTTTTATCAGGTTTGCTATGGTTTGAATGCTTGTGTCCTTCCAAAATTCAGGGTCTTGCTCTGTCACTTAGGCTGGAGTGCAGTGGCACCAGCACAGCTCACTGGGGTGGGAGGATCGCCTGAAGCCTCCACTTCCCTGGGCTCAGGCGACCTTCCCACCGCAGCCTCCTAAGTAGCTGTAACTACAGGCATGCACCACCATGCCCGGTTAAGTTTTGTGTTTTTTTGTAGAGACAGGTTCTTGCCATGTTGCTCAGGCTGGTCTCAAACTCCTGGGCTCAAGCAATTTGCCCACCTAAGCCTCCCAAAGTGCAGGGATTACGGGTATGAGCCACTGCACCCAGCCCCAATAGAGCTTTAAATATAATAAACGTGCTAATTATGCCAAACTTATATTCCCAGGCTGGAGATCTCCCACGAACTCTATCTTATATTCTAGTCATACATTCAGCTGCCTCATAACCTTAACGTGTAGCATGAGTAACACGTTTTTATTTGGCGAAGCCACTGAGAACTTGGAGTTGTTACTGCAGTCCAACCAGGCCCACCCCTCCACCACATGCCCACACATCAGCGCCACTTGCCAGCACAGGTCGAGTATCCCTTATCCAAAATGCTTGGGACTGGAATGTTCCAATTTTGGATTTTGGACTATTTGCATTATACTCGCCCAGTTGAGCATTCCAGATCCCAGATCCAGAATGCTCCAATGAGCACTTATTTTGAGTGTCACTTCAGTGCTTACAAGTTTCAGATTTTGTAGCACCTCGGATTTTGGGTCTGAATGCTCATCCTATACCTGCAGCCCTCCAGCAGCCCCTGTGCTGCTGCTTCTCAGTGGCCAGTGCATCAGCCACCCCTCCATTTTCTTTCTTGTTGGAGTCTCACTCGACAGCCCGGGCTGGAGTGCAGTGGAGTGATCTCAGCTCACTGCAACCTCCGCCTCCTGAGTTAAAGTGATTCTTGTGCCTCAGCCTCCTGAGTAGCTGGGATTACAGGCGTATGCCACCATGCCTGGCCTAATTTTTGTATTTTTAGTAGAGACAGGGTTTTACCATGTTGGCCAGGCTGGTCTTGAACTCCTGGACTCAAGTGATCCACCCTCACCAGCCTCCCAAAGCGCCAGGATTACAGGCGTGAGCCCCTGTGCCCAGCCCCACCTCTTCATTTTCAAACACGCCAGACATGTCCCAGCTCACGTTGTTCCTTCTGCCAAGAATGTTCTCCCCTATATGCCCACATGGTTCACTCCAACTCCTTCCACTGTGTGTTCCAGAGCTGTTTTCTCAGTGAGGAGGCTTTGCCCACCCTGCACCAGGACCTCGGACAGACTCCTTCCTGCCACTGCATTTCTCACTGCCCCGCATGGCACATGGTTCCTCATCACGTGTTTTCTACCCCCCTCACTTGAGAATGACCTTTTATTGTGTTCTTTGGTGTGGGGCAGTTTCAGCAGCAGGAGGGGTGAAAGCCCAGCTGGGGTGGGCCACAGGAGACTTGGGTGGTAGGCAGAATGCCACACAAAGATGTCACGCCCTCATGCCTGCAACCTGTGATATTATGTTACACAGCAAAAAGGGCTTCACAGGTGTAAGTAGGTTGCCAATTAGTGACCTTAAAATAGGGAGATTATCCTGTTCACCTGGGTGGACCCGGTCTAATCACAGGAATCTTTAAAGGCATAAAGTTTTCTCCAGCTGAAGGTGGGAGAAATGGGACAGACCAGAAGGCTAGCTCTGGCCGCACGCAGTGGCTCACGCCTGTCATCCCAGCAGTTTGGCAGGCCAACACGGGCAGATCACCTGAGATCAGGAGTTCAAGACCAGCCTGGCCAACATGGTGAAACCGTGTCTACTAAAAATAGAAAAATTAGCTGGGCGTGGTGATGTGCACCTGTAGTTGCAGCCACTTGGGAAGCTGAAGCAGGAGAATCACTTGAACTCGGGAGGCGGAGGTTGGAGTTAGCCAAGATCATGCCACTGCACTCCAGCCTGGGTGACAGAGTCAGTCTCCCTCTAAAAAAACAAAAAAGAAAGTCTTGCTGGTTTTGAAGTTTGAAGATGTGAGCAACCTCTGGAGGCTGAGAACAACCCTGAGCCAGCAGCCAGTAAGGGGAGACCTCACACAACCACGTGGAAGTAATTGTCAACAATCTGAAGGAGCCTGTGGGCGGGTCTCCCTCCGCCCCTGCTCAGAGCGGAGGCAGCGGACCTCCCGATTTCAGCCCGGAGACCTACCGCAGAGAAGCCAGTCAAATCCACCTGCACTTCTAATGCAGAACTGTGAGAGTGTGTGCTCTTTTGTACCACTGCATTTGTGGTAGTTATGAAGCCATACAAAACGAACTGAGACAGCAAGTATAGACAACCTGTCACAACTTTTGCTGGGACAGGAAGCAGGAAAATGAGGCAGTGGCTGGAAAGGGACGTGGGGCCAAGGGCTTCGGTTTAAGGTGCATGGCCACAGGAGCGGGATGCCGTAGTGATAGGAAGCGCCACCCCAGTGTTTCATAATTCCACCCTCGCAGGACACAGAGGCAGGGTGCCACATTCATACTTCAGTACAATATGTCGATAAAGCAGCCTGCTTGTGGGGGGCCAGGTACGAGTTCCCAAGCCAGCTGGGCACTGCCCACAGCACTGCGCTGTGTCAAGACCTGCATGTCTTTCTCAGCTTCGAAGCCAGGAAGTCACCTTGTCCGCAGCAGCCTCCAAGCAATGACTGCAAGGTGAGGGGTGAATGCTGGGTTCCCCTGCAGCAAGGTGAGGGGATGAATGCCTTGGCTCCCCTGGCCCTCGGGGAGGGACTCTGAGGATGGTTCCTACATGACCTCCTGCCACAGTCACTGGACTGGTAGCAGCCCCTTACTGCCTCACACCCCCAGTCTCTTGCTAGTGTCTTCTCTCAAGCTAACAATTTGGACTTTCTTGGTTCACTGCGAACTTGTCTCCCAGGTTCAAGCGATTCTCCTGGGATGTCTCCCCGGAGTAGCTGGGATTACAGGCATGCGCCACCACGGCAGCTACTTTTTTATTTATTCATTTTTTTTGAGACAGAGCCTCTCTCTGTCACCCAGGCTGAAGTGCCGTGGCTCGATCTTGGCTCACAGCAACCTCTGCCTCCCGGGTTCAAGTGATTCTCCTGCTTCAGCCTCCCAAGTAGCTGAGATTACAGGCGCACTCCACCACACCTGGCTAATTTTTGTATTTTTAGTAGAGATGGGGTTTTTCCATGTTGGTCAGGCTGGTCTCAAACTCCCGACTTCTGAGATTATAGGTATGAACTACTGGGCTTGGGGACACCAGTGCTTTTCAACTACCCTAGGGAGGACTCATCAAGCTCGTCTGTGTGGCCCCACGTCTTTTCACAAAGCAGTTGCTCATAACCTCATCACACCCTGGGAACTCTATAAAGTAGGACAGGTATGTTTTGAGCTAGGCTTCGCCTGAACCCGGATGTGTGTCTCAGGCAGCCCCTTCTCTTCTCTAGGGTGCCTGGGGGTACTGGCAAGTACCAGGGGACCTAGAGGTGGAACGTCTGGGCTGATTCATGAAAACCTTTTGCAGGCTGGGCATGGTGGCTCACGCCTGTAATACCAGCACTTTGGGAGGCCGAGGCCGGAGGATCAGCTGAGGTCGGGAGTTCAAGACCAGCCTGACCAACACTGCAAAACCCTGTCTCTACTAAAAATACAAAAATTAGCCAGACGTGGTGGTGCATGCCTGGAATCCCAGCTACTTGAGAAGCTGAAGCAGGAGAATCTCTTGAACTCGGGAGGCAGAGGTTGCATTGAGCGGAGATTGTGCCACTGCCCTCCAGCCTGGGTGACAGAGCAAGATTCTGTTTCAAAAGAAAAAAAAAAAAAGTCGGGGGGTTAGAAGACAGAAGCCAGCAAGCCAGAAAGAGGCCTGTGCAGCTCCTCAGGTGCCGGAGTCGCCCCTGAAGCAGGGTGAGGGCTGCCGGCGGCGACTGGACACCGCGGAGCAGGACGCAGCATCCGGCCCCGTTCGCTCCAGGCTGCAGGGCAGGCCACGCTGCCCACCACTGCGCTCCCGGCCTCCCTGAGCGGGTCTCGGCTTTCCCCGGAGCCTAACGGGCCTCACTGGAGTCTGGGACCACCACGGCCTCTGGAGTTCCGTTTCCTGACGCCTTAGACCAGGCTGCTCCGGCGGCCAGCCGCCCTCCGGGTCGCGTGGGCCAGGGGTCCGCGGTATCTCCAGGCACTCCCGCGTCCCGAGGCAGCAGCCTCTTCCTGGCCCGCCTCGCCCGCTCCCCTCCCGCTCAGCGGGCCCCGCACGCGCTCCGTCCGCCTCCTCCTTCCGCAGTCGGGGCCAGGACGGTGGCGGGAAACAGCATACGGGGGCCACGGCGAGGGAGACGAAGGGCGGCCGGCTCGCAGAGCTCCACGGGCCCGGCGCGAGTCCCGGGCCGCGGCGCGCATGGCCCCTCCGGGCGCGGCGCCGCCACCCGCACAAAGCTTCCCGCGAAACTGACGTCGGCGCGCGCAGGCACCGCCCCCGGCCTCGCCCCTCCCCCGCGCTCGCCTCGCTCCTCAGCGCGCCGGCGCCCTCTCCCTCCTCCCATTGGTTGTTACAGAGCGGCGCGCGCCGACCGGCGCCGTGCGCGCCTCCCGATTGGTAGAGCGGCGGCGGGCCGGGGGGTGTGTCCCGGGCCGCGCCCCGCCCCTCCGCTCCGCTAGCGGTGGTGCGCGCGGTGGCGGCGGCGGTAGCGGCGACGGCGCGTGGCAGGTCCGGCGGGCGCGAGGCGGCGGCGGCGGCGGCGGCGGCGGCCCGAGCCCGGCCCAGCCTCGTCCCGCCCGGGGCCCGCCTGGCTGCGACCCCGACCCCGGCTGCGGTCCTGTCCTGCCCCGGCGCGCCGCGGCCTCGCCCGGCCCCCGCCCGGCGCCTCCCGAGGGAGCGGCGCTGCCGGCCAAGAGCGCAGGCCCGGCCATGACCGACTTCAAATTGGGCATCGTGCGGCTCGGCCGGGTGGCCGGAAAGGTGAGCGGCGCGGAGTGCGCGGCCCGGCCCGGCCCATCTTGCCCGTCCTGGCCTCCGCGCGGGGCCGGGGGCGGTTGTGCGGGCGGCGGCCGGGGCGGGGGCGCGGAGCCCGGGATGAGCCCCGGCGGGGTGGGGGGCGCTGCGCGGGCCCGACTGCCGGCCCCGCGCGGGTGCAGCTTCCTCCCGCAAGGCCGGTGGGCACGCACCTCGGCTCCGGGGCGCACCTGGCCGCCCTCGGCCCTGCCCTGCCGCAGGTGGAAGCCACGGCCCTGTCCCGAGCCAGGTGCGGAGATGCCTGACTTGAGCCCGGCCGGTGTTCATCCGGAGCCCTCCCCGTGGTGCCGGCGAGCCGGGGCCTAGTGCGGTGTCCGGGCTGCTGGAGCGGCCACACGGTTTAAACACAGCGCCCTTTCGAGGCAGCGCCACCTCCACACCTCTCGCCGAGGCGGGTCTGGTGTGGGCTCTTCCGTGCCTCCCAGTTCGCAGCAGGGCTTCGGGCTCGTTTTAACGCTGCCAGGCCTTGGCCAAGGTAGGCTGAGCCTCAGGCTTAGAGCAGAGAGGCAGGAGCCTGGGTCCTGATGCTGCAGACTCAGGGCCTTCCCCTACTTCTCCGTACCGGTCCTCACGTTTCACGATTGGGGCCGGGGCTTCCATGCCACCTGTAGGCCCTGAGGCTTGGCGGTTTCTGGAGCCACCTGTGCAGCTGCACCAGCCAGGTTCTTGCCTGGATAGGAGCCCTGTTCCCATCACCAGTGGCTGCAGCTTTTCTGGTGGGAGAGAGGAGTGGAGGCAGTGGCAGGCGGCGTCAGGTCAAACAGGTTCAGATCCCAGAAAAAAAAAAAACGTCGAGAGAGAGACTGGTCGGTTCCTGGAGCTGTTTCTGTTTCCTGCCCCTGCTCCAAGAGCATAGGTAGGGCCTACTGTGGAGGAGGCTTTCCCACCGGGGAAGGGTGGGCTCCCCAGTCAGGTCGAAGACCCGAGACCCCTTCCAACTCTGCCACTGATGGCATTGTTATCCCTTATAGCTTTTCTTTGGAACATTTTGGGTGGACAGAAAGCTAAAAAGGGGAATTCAGTGAGTACTTCAGCTTAATAAACACACCCTAATCAAAACCTGGCTTTTCTGCCTCCGTCCAGGCCCCTCCCTCAGCCCAGTGAGTTCGCCTCTGCCTAAGTGTATCGGTGCGTTAAATGTTGGGTGCCACTGTTGGGTTAGGCCTGCGAGGATGGGGCCTGATACCGGCTCCTCTGGCACAGACTAAAGTGGGCAGCTGGCTTGTCACCGGTCTGCCTGCATTTTTGCACAGGCTGCACGACCCCAAACTGCAGAATGAGACCCCCACGTGCTGAGCTGCCTTCCTCTGAAGAGGCCTGTGGTTACTTCCTACTTCACAAGAAAATGCAGCAGGCTCCTGCCTGTTATGGGTTATAAGGCTGCTGCACTTCAGGATCCCAAATGTAATGGTTTGAAACGTGGTTACTTTCCAGACCAAATACACGCTGATCGATGAGCAGGACATCCCGCTGGTGGAGAGCTACTCCTTTGAGGTGAGTGAGGATGGCTGTTCCCTCCCCTGATGCTTGTGGTCAGTGCTCAGGAGAGTCATGAGGAGCTCTGTCCCCTGTGCTGCAAGAGCAGGCGGCCCCACAAGTGGACATCTGGTGCCAACCTGTGAGCCCTGAGCCCTCAGCTGCCACATCCAGCGGTGGGCCTGCAGACCCTGGCTGTCGCTGCCACCAGAGCCCTTGCAGCCTGATGACACGGCCTTCCCTCACTTTCACCCTGTCTGCCAGCCCTTCTTGAAAGCAAATAGTGTGTTCTCACGTTTGTAATCCTGTCACGTGGGCCGTGTCTGTTAGCTTGGATGACCCTGCTCCTTACAGCTGGCCACCTATGCTTGGCCTGCCCTAGCAGCCCCTCCAGGTTGCCCAGCTGCCTCCCGTTCTCTGCTCTCATGGGGTCTTCCTGCCTCTTCCCAGCTTCCGTTCCTGCCACTGAGCTCGGCCTCCCTCACCACGCTTTATCTCTGCGCCCCACACATTCGCAGTCGTGACTTGTCAAGGGGTATCTCCATCTTACTGCACTGTGGGCTTTTTTTAAGGGTAGGAAAATGTATTGAATAGAAGCATGGTGGGGGGACACACTGGGCCTGGGGCCATGTGCCTGTGGGAAGCGCCACACTCCCCAGGGTCTCAGGGACAGGGCTGGCATTTGTCCCTCAGGCTTGCCTGTTTCACGTGGGTTTTCTAAGAGGGATTTGAGGTGTTGCTGAGAATTGGAGCCTTTTTAATAGCTCTTTTCCTTGTTCCTTCTCAGGCCCGAATGGAAGTAGATGCTGACGGAAATGGCGCTAAGATATTTGCCTATGCCTTTGACAAGAACCGAGGAAGGGGTTCTGGGAGACTCCTTCATGAGCTGCTGTGGTGGGTGTTTCAAAGCTGCCTCTGCCCCCTGCCACAGGGCTCCTGGGTGAGCTCTGATGGCACAGGGTGCCTGGAGCCCCCTGCCCCGCCGAGGCCCTGCCTTGCCTTCCCTGAATTTCGCATTTATTTTTGTGTCCTTTGTCACTAACCTAGAGGAACGAATGATTTGTATATTGCACTTCAGACACCAAGTGGACTTTCTGCTGGGCGCTTGCCCAGGACCGGTGGCTTCTGGAGGGAGAGTGGGGTTGCTCCCCTTGCTGGGTCTTCACTGAGCCCCCCCAGTGTGCATGGTAGGGGCCACTCAGATGGGAGCTGTCTTGAGTCCGTCTGCTCAGGTGGTTTTGGGTTCCAGCCTTAACTCTGCTCCTAAGTCCAGGGGCCAGGTCCTCTCTGTGTCCCTGTCCTGTTTGGGCCACAGACCAGGTGCTTGGATTCCTCTTGGCAGTTTCTGTCTGAAGCACCCTCATCTGTAGGAGCAGGGCCTGATCAGATCACATGGCCGATACTTCTTCCTGAAAGGACTTTGATGCCTGATCAGAAATACCCGTGAGGGTGGGAGGCGGCAATGCAGGGCACTGTCTGTTTCTAGGGAGCGGCACCGGGGGGGCGTGGCCCCGGGCTTCCAGGTGGTGCACCTCAACGCAGTGACTGTGGACAATCGCCTGGACAACCTGCAGCTGGTGCCGTGGGGCTGGCGGCCCAAGGCTGAAGAGACCTCCAGCAAACAGAGGTGGGTCTTCTCAGGGCCTGGTGAGGCCAGCAGAGGGGCCTTTTGAGGAAGGCCACCTTTAAAGCGCTCATTTCTAAGAGGGTCTCATGTTCTTCTTCTGAGCCCTGATGCTTCTGTGTGTTTGGGACTTTCACTGTTTTTCCCCAAAGCGTGGAATGCTCCTTTTCTTCATGGGAGTGGGAAGGACCTTGATAGTGTGTTTCTGCGTGGGTCTTCTGATAACTGGCCTGGGAACCCCCCGTTAGCCGATGTGATGAAGTGGGGAAGAGGGCTGCCTGCTCCAGGGCAGGGCTAGCACCGGTATTCGGTGGGAGCAGGGCTCCCAAACCCCTGGAAGGCATTAGCCTTCTTTCCTCCCCTCAGGATTCCTTCTGTGCACAGAGATAGCTCGGTCTCTTTGTTGTGTTCTTTTGCTAAACAGTTTTCCTTAAGCAGATGTTTAAAGCGGAGGATACGTGGTTCCCACCTGCCTGTGGTCCTGAGAGCAGTGCTTTGCATGGGCTTCCCACATGGGAGGGCAGTTCCTGCTGCCCCAGGACCAGCCAGGCTGTGAACTTCGTGGAGCCCTTGGGAGGAGCGGAGAGACCACAGGAGGATGGGGGTCCCCTGGGGCTTCTGGGCAGCCTTTCCTGGTGCAGGCAGTGCTGACTGCCCTAGCAGATATAACCTAGCAGGTTATCAGCAATGCTGGTAAGGTTTAGGATTGCGGGCTTGGCGATGGTTGGTGGCTGTGGGTGGAATCTTTGCAGTTTTCACCTTGGTCGTGCCAGAGCCCTGTGCAGCCGAGGTGGAGACAGTGGGACACCTGGCAGACTGGTTGGTGATGTGGGGACCGTCCCCAGGCCTCCAAATGCCACCCTCAAATTGCTGCCTTGGAGGGAGTCCTACAAGTCCCCCTCACCCCTTCTGCACTGGCCTCACAGGGCAAAGGCAGAGCGTGCAAGTGTCTGTCATTCTTCTTTGGCTGGTGGCTTTTTTCCTTGTTATGTTTATTTCATTTTATTAATTAATTTTAGAGATGGGTCTCACTATGTTGCCCAGGTTGCTCTCAAACTCCTGGCTTCAGGGAATCCTCCTGCCTCAGCCTCTTTTTTTTTTTTTTTTTTTTTTTTGAGACAGAGTCTCGCTCTGTTGCCCAGGCCAGAGTGCAGTGGCGAGATCTTGGCTTACTGCAGCTTCCGCCTGCCTAGTTCAAGCAATTCTCCTGCCTCACCCTTCCTAGTAGCTGGGATTACAGGTGCCCACCACCACGCCTGGCTAATTTTTGTATTTTTGATAGAGACAGGGTTTCACTATGTTGACCAGGCTGGTCTTGAACTCCTAACCTCAGGTGATCTGCCCGCTTTGGCCTCCCAAAGTGTTGGGATTACAGGTGTGAGCCACTGTGCCCGGCCCACCTCAGCCTCTTGAGTAGCTGGAATTACAGGCGCTTACCACCACGCCCAGCCCCTGCTATGATATTAAGTTTTGATCCTTTTCTCATACTGCTTGTGAGTGAAGCCAACCTTATGATTGTTGGATGGGATTTTTATTCTTTTGGTGATTATGTTAGTCGGAATTGCAAGAAACAGAACTTAATTTCGCTGAAACAAAAACAGCATATTTTGGTGTCCTGACTGAAATGTGGAGAGCCAGGGATGCTGCTGCCTCCCGCCCTGCACCCTCACTCCCTGCACCTCTCAGGGAGGCTGCGTGAGCACTACCTCGCACCTGTGCAGCGAAGCAGGTACCCTGTTCTGGTGGTGTCTGGGGAAGCCCTGGGATGAACTGTGGTTAGCTTGCTTTGAATCACTTTTCTACATGAAATCAGAGTTGGGTCATCCATGGGGAGGGAGGGGTGCGTGGCAGTCAGAGCGGCATTCACGGCATTTCCTGTTGGGTCGTGTGCATTGATATATGCTCAGCGTTGGGGCTGGGCTGGGCCCTCCCCTACTCCACACATTCCCCCCCTGCCCACCACTCCATCTGGCAATGGCAGGCGTCCCTGCCATGGAAGGGATAATTTCAGCTGGTTCTTAGTAATACTTGGTCCAGCCAGCCTGTGACTGAACGTTACCTTGAATCCTCGCAGCACTCTTCAGAGTCAGGAGAGGCGCTAACTGCTGTTAAGAACACCCGTTTGGAAAGGGGGCATTGGGCTGATGCTCCTGTGGCCATGCCAAGACCAGTGGCGCTGGGGCTGCCACCTTGCATAACACTGTGCTGTGGGAGGTGGGCCTGGGCAGGACTGATGAAGCTTGGGCATCTTTGGTTTGCCAACATGGGGCTTTAGAACTCAGCAGGTGTTGGGCCGCGTGCTGTAAGCACCCCAGGTCACGAGCAGAAGTCAGAGCTAGCCAGTGTGGGCCTGTCGTCCCGGGTGGCTGGGTGCTGTGTCCTGGTTCCCGGCTTGTGGCCTCCCTGTGGTTTGGCTCTTTGTGGTGGGGTCACCCTGTCTTTGTGAGGCCTGGGCTATTGCTCTGTTTTCCTGGCATTGTGTCAGCTCAGCGCCCACAAAAGTGGCCTCTTGGCAAAGGAGTTTTTCTCTTCTGTCTTCAGAAGGCACCAGTGTCTGAAACTTGCCTCTGTCTGGTGGGACCTCCCCAGCATCTTCCCATGTCCTAACCCTTCCCCCTTTTAACCACATGTCCTCAGGGTCTCGCCTCAGAACAGCGTTGTTGCGGGTGGTTTAGGCAGCGCCTTTACGTTGTGATGCAGCAGGGTGGGGCTGCCCACCTGTTCTCTGAGCAGCTCTGAGCTGCTGCTTGTTCCAGGGTCTGTTCCATACAGCACGTGCCTTGGAGACTCCGTTCTCGGTGGGACTCTCCTGTTGTAAGCATCTGGCCTGCTCAAGCAGGAGGAGTCTTCAGACGGATGTAGGGCAGCTCCTGGCACAGAAGGGGAAGTGGACCGACTGGGCAGTGTTGGGTAATTCTGCAGGCCAAGGGCAAGGAGAAGGGCTGCCTCGCTCGGTGCTGGGGCCTGAGCTGGGCCCTGCCTCCTGCCTCCTGTGTGCTGGGGAGAGGGTGACAGATGAGGCCGTGCTTCTGTTAGTGAGAAGGCAAGACACAGTATTACTGCGTCAGGTGGTGGAAAGCACATGCAGCAGGGATGGGCAGAGGAGACAGGAGTCCGGGCCGGGCGTCCTGGGCAGGGTGGCACTCCGGAGTCGCTGCATCATCCGCCATGTGCTGCCCCTGTTTGGCCAGAGCACACTGAAGTGTCTGCGTCTTTCTTTAAGGGAGCAAAGCTTGTACTGGCTTGCGATTCAGCAGCTGCCTACAGACCCCATAGAAGAACAGTTTCCTGTCCTAAACGTGACCCGGTACTACAACGCCAACGGGGACGTGGTGGAAGAGGAAGAGAATTCCTGCACCTACTATGAGTGCCACTACCCGCCCTGCACGGTTATTGAGAAGCAGGTGGGTGTCCTCTTCCTGCAGCCCAGCCTCGGTTTGGGGTCTTGTCCTCCCACCCCAGGGCCCATCCCCGGAGACCTCTCAGCCGCTCGTGGGCTTTTCCGCCAGGTGGTCTCCCTTTGCCATTGTGCTGGCCTGATCAGAGCCCAGGCCCCCCAGCCTTGGTATTCTGCTGGGTCCGTCACATTGTCCGTGAGATGGACTTTGCTCGCACTACGTCACAGGCACGATGGTGAAGCCACTGGTGTTCTGTATTTCAGCTCCGGGAGTTCAACATCTGCGGGCGCTGCCAGGTGGCCCGGTACTGTGGCTCTCAGTGTCAGCAGAAGGACTGGCCGGCCCACAAGAAACACTGTCGGGAGAGGAAGCGTCCCTTCCAGCATGAGCTCGAGCCGGAGCGATGACGGGTGGGGGAGCCGCACACATTCAAAGCCCCCGGGCTCTACCCTGGGCACAGCAGAGACAAACTCGTGGTTGAACCTGGAGGTGCCGAAGAAGCCAGCTGCAGGCCCGGGACAGCCGCCATGAGACTCCCAATGTTACAGGCAGTCTGTGTGGGCACAGCGCCCCTCAGTGTTCATCTCCAGCAGGGACAGGAGGAGGCTCCACCAGGACGGTTCTCATTATTTATATGTTAATATGTTTGTAAACTCATGTACAGTTTTTTTTGGGGGGAGGCAATGGGAAGGGTAGAAATTACAAATAGAATCTTTTGCTGTAATCCTTGAATGGCAAATGGTCAGGCCACGTGTCTAAAAACTGTCCTGTAGCTGCAGCTTCTTCCCTGGGCTGCGGGAGCCCCACGGAGCGCGGCCTGCATGGGAGTTGTGTCCACAAAGGCAAAGTAAAGGGGTGGAATCATCCGGCGTCTCGGCCATTCTCTGCTCCGCCTCCCTCTGGGGCTGCTTAGGGCGAGGTCATTTTGAGTGGAGCTGAGTCCTTGTGGGTGTGGGGCAGGAGGACCTGGCCTTGCTCCTCATGTGCCCTCTGTGAAGTGGGTGAGCTCAGACCTTCCTGAGTCCAGCAGGGAGTGTGAGTGGAACACTGTCCTTGTCTTGTGCAGGACTGGTGGGAGTGCTGTCAGCTGCCCACTGTTCTATTGGGTGTGGGATGCTCCAGACCCTGACATTGGTTAGTTGTTGTCTGATGTATGCGTGAAGTGCCTGGGAGCTCGTCGGTGACAGCTGCTGCCTGGAAGAATCCACAGGGCAGCTGGGTGTGGTGGCTTACGCACTTTGGGAGGCCGAGGTGGGCGAATCACAAGGTTAGGAGTTCGAGAGAAGCCTGGCCAGCCTGGTGAAACTCCCATCTCTACTAAAAAATACAAAAAGTTAGCTGGTCATGGTGGCACATGCCTGTAATCCCAGCTACTTGGGAGGCTGAGGCAGGAGAATCGCTTGAACCCAGGAGGCAGTGTTTGAAGTGAGCCGAGATTGCACCACTGCACTCCAGCCTGGGCAGCAGTGCGAGACTCCATCTCAAAAAGAATCCACAGGGCGTGTGCAGCAGGCCTGTTACAGATGGTGGAGGGTGCTGGGCAGTCAGGGTGGGGTGAGGGCCACACTCCTCTGTCCCTCTGCAGGGCTGTGGCCTCCAGGATAGTCCACCCTCTGTCCTTGGGGGAGCCCCAGGTGTCTGAGGCTGGTCAGCATCTTGTACTCATAGAGCTGCTCAGGGAAACAAGCCAGGCTGTGTGGCCGGGATCCTGCCAGTCTCTAGGTGCACCCAGCCACCCACTCAGAGGCCTTCTTGGGAGCTGGGAGCCTGTGTTGGTCCCGCAGATTCCTGCTACACTCTCCCCTCTTGAAGCTCCTCTGCCGCGCTCCAGGACACCCTGTGTGTTCTCATGGCTGCCCCTGGCTGGGTTGGCCTTAGCTTCTCTGGTAGTAAGTACCCTGGGGCCTCCTGAAGAACAGGACAGCTGAAAACAGGCGATAGCAGCAAACCCCACAGGATTTCCTGGAGCTTAGAGAACTGCATGTGCGCATGTCATGAGAAGCCTCCTTTTTTGCTGTGATGGTCAGGGACATATGAGCAGGTGAAAGCTCTCAGGGAGGGGGACATAAGTGTCCCTAGAGATGTTGGGTCAGCAGGTTGGGCTTTGGGGCAATCTTCAGGCCCGGAGCCTTGCGTGCCCTCAGGCAGCCTGCTTTCAAATGGAAAGTCAGGGTGGGAACGGACTACAGGCTGTGTCCTGGAGAATGGCCACATCATCCCCTGACCAGCAGAGGCTGCCTTGTCTGGCAGTCAGTTATTCATCAGAAATGCACCAAAAAGCACCCAGGGCCTCCCACTTGTGAGACACGACACTGGGGAAGGGGGTCATGCAGGTTCTAAGTTTGAGTGTGGCAGCTCCAGGCCTCACCTCGACAGGTGCCACTGTGAAGGTGGGATGGGCCCCACGACTGCTTCCCTTCTCTTATCTGATAGCCATCCCCTGGTCGTCTTTCCCCTTCCGTGGCCCTGACTTCTTGGCCTTTGTAGCCAGGTATCTAAGACGTTCTGAGGACATCCAGAGGGCTGCAATGTGGGGCTGGCTTCCAGCTTGTTTGCAGTGTGGTGCGTTGGGATGCTTGGCCTGGTCACTCTCCCTACTACGTAGAGGTGTGTGGTTGAGGCCCTTTGGGAACGCCCTGCTGCCTTCCTGGCAGCCTTGTCGGTGCCTCTGACGCGGTCTGAGCAGCTGTCTGTCCGCACTGTCTTTAGCCACAGCCCTGCTTGAAGGCCCGAGGCTGAACACCCACCCAGGCTCCGTGAGTTTCAGTCAAGTCCGCCTTAGCTTCCTGGAGCTGCCGCAATAAAGCAGCACAAGGCGCTGTGCAGCCTGAAGCAGCAGGAATTACCCGTCTGGGCTTTGGAAGCCGGAGCCTCGGATGAAGGCCTGGGGACGGGCCTCCCTGTGGTCAGCTTTCCTTTCTGCGGGCTCCAGCTCCGCTGGGTCAGGGCCCTCCGAGGACCTCGTTTTAACTGCCCCTTCCGAGAGCCTGTTTGCTAAGGATGCGCTCTGAAGTGCCAGGCTCTTTAGCCCTGGGGGCCAGAGGGGTTCTCCCTGCCCGCTGCACAGACGGACCATGAATCGCAGTAAAGAAAAAGTCGGCCGGGCGCGGTGGCTCAAGCCTGTAATCCCAGCACTTTGGGAGGCCGAGGCGGGTGGATCACGAGGTCAACAGATCGAGACCATCCTAGTCAACATGGTGAAACCCCGTCTCTACTAAAAATTACAAAAAATTAGCTAGGCATGGTGGCGCGTGCCTGTAATCCCAGCTACTCAGGAGGCTGAGGCAGAATTGCCTGAACCCAGGGGGTTGGAGGTTCCAGTGAGCCGAGATCGCGCCATTGCACTCCAGCCTGGGTAACAAGAGCGAAACTCCGTCTCAAAAAAAAAAAAAAAAAAAAAGAAAATGGGAGCTGGAGTTCATCCTCAGATCTTGTCCAGAGCTCCTAGGTGAGCGGGTTTTCAAAGGCAGTTTTGGGAGAAGGGGCGGGGCGGCCGGGCGGCAGGTGCTGGGAATCACCAGGCAGAGCCGTCCTCCCGCCGAGCCGCTTCTGGGGGGGCCCAGATGCAGCCACGGGTGTCGGACAAGACAAGACCCTGGAAGGTGGGCTCCGCCACGGCTGGTTCGCAGGAGGCGGGCCGGGCGCGCCTGCCCCTCGGGGTGCTGGGGGCTCCTCAGCGTCACGAAGGCGTGGATTCTGGGGCAAGGCCTGTTACGGAAGCCGTAGCCTAAATGTCGTCTGAAGTCAGCGCGACCCGAAGCCCGAGTAGCCGGGAGGGCGCCACGCGGTGCGCTTGCGCAGCCCGCCGTTGGGGGTTTCCTCATGATGGAATTTTTGCAAAGGCGGCTTCAAACCTACGGCCCTGTCTCGAATGTGCCGTCTCCAAACCGGCTCTGCAGAGGAGCGGACGTCCCGAAGCCTTTGGCCTCAACCGGCTCGCGGGGAGCCGCGCGCCCGGCGGTCCGCCGGCCGACAGGGGGCGCAGGAGCCTGGCCTCCCGCGGGCGTCCAAGGTGGCCAACGCCCGCCCGGATGTCCCGCCCCGGCGCGCCGGAAGGAATCGCGAGAGGCGGTTGCGGGGACTCGAGGGTGAGGCCGCCTGCGCCGTCAGTGTCCCGGGGCCTCCGCGCTCTTGCCGCCGGTCCCGGCTTCGCCGCCCCGCACCGTACTCGGGCCGGCCCCGCCGACCCGCCTCTACCGACGGCTGGATGACCGGCGCTTACGCCCTGCAGACGGTGGACACCGAGCTGACCGCTGACGCGGTGGAGTGGTGCCCGCTGCGAGGCCTCAGGCACCTGCTGGCGTGCGGAACCTACCAGCTGCGGCGTGCGGACGAGCCCGCCGACCCCCAGAGCAAGGTGCGCACGCCACGGCCTGGGGAGGGGAGGGCGGGGTGGCCACGAGGTTGAGGCCGAAAGGCGCGCAGAATCGCGCAGGAGGTGAAGAGGACATGCTGGTCCTTCGACCGGGATGTAGGTCAGATACAGTTTAGAATCTTTTTTTTTTTTGAGACGGAGTTTCGCTGTTGTTGCCCAGGCTGGAGTGCAATGGCACGATCTCGGCTCACCGCAGCCTCCGTCTTCTGGGTTCAGGCAATTCTCCCGCCTCAGCCTCCTGAGTAGCTGGGATTACAGGCGCGCACCACCATGTCCAGCTAATTTTTTTATTTTTAGTAGAGACGGGGTTTCACCATGTTGACCAGGATAGTCTCGATCTCTTGACCTCGTGATCCACCCGCCTCGGCCTCCCAAACTGCTGGGATTATAGGCGTGAGCCACCGCGCCCGGCCAGTTTAGAATCTTTTTAAAAAAATTATTCTTTTTTTGACACAGAGTCTTGCTCTGTCACCCAGGCTTGAGCGCAGCCTCGGACTCGGGGGCTCAGGGGATCCTCCCACCTCAGCCCCTGAGTAGCTGGGCCCGCAGGCCCGCGCCACCGCCCCCGGCCAACTTCAGAATTTGAGAGACCGTCTTCTCTATACAGGTGTGGCTCAAGCTAATGGATGGAATGTACAGTAAAGAGAAAGTGGGAATTATACCTTAACTTTTGGAAGGTACATATTAGGATGCAAATTGGGCGCTGGAACTACAGGCCCAAGACAGGACTGTCCCAGGCAAACTGGGTTCTGTGGTCACCCTAGCCATAGCTGGGCCCAAGCTATGGCAGGAACTATAGGCCCAAGACAGGACTGTCCCAGGCAAACTGGGTTCTGTGGTCACCCTAGCCATAGCTGGGCCCTTTCGGCTGGTTTAGAAGGAACGTTCTCTACTGGGTCCAGGAGCGTTCGTCGAGAAAATAGAAATATGTCGAAAATAGAAAAATGTCGAGAAAACAGACATTTCTCCAGCTCAGGACACCAGAGGCTCTCCTTCCAGGCAGAATTCCACTCCGTCAGTCATTACAAACCTTTTGAGTTCCTCGGGTCCCTTTTCCCATCGCTTGGGTTCCTTGGTGTCTTGGTAATCAGAGAATACCTCTGCGTTTTTTGTAGGAAGTTGAGGAGCCTCAGATCCGTTTAGGTCGTCTCTTCCTGTACAGTTTCAATGAGAACAAATCTACTCATCCTCTGGTCGAGGTCCAAAGAAAAGATACTTCTGCAATCCTGGACATGAAATGGTACAACTGTGATAATCCCACTTGGTCTAGAATTTGTCACGAGTAGCTAGTCAGTCACTTAATCAGGGGAGCCTGATGCCTGATAGCCTTCAAGGAGACAGGGATTGTGTGTCAACTTTGGATTTGTTTCTTCGCTGTCCTGCCTCCCTCCCACTTGGGCAGTGCTTTATGTGGGGCTGATTTGTTTTGCCATGTTCCAGTCAGGGAAGCGATGGGAGTTTTCTGACTTCATAAGCTGGGGCATCTTTTGTTTGAGAACACAATTGTAGGCTCTAGCCCAGTTTTGGAGCTGAGATTTTTATTTTTTTTAAATTTATTTAATTTTTTTTTTTTTTTGAGTTGGAGACTTGCTCTGTCGCCAGGCTGGAGTGCAGTGGCTCAATCTTGGCTCACTGCAACCTCCACCTCCTGGATTCAAGCAGTTCTGCTTCAGCCTCTCTCCAATAGCTGAGATTACAGGTGTCTGCCACCACGCCCAGCTACTTTTTGCTTAGTTTTTTGTTTGTTTGTTTTTGAGAAGAAATTTTGCTCTTGTTGCCCAGGCTAGTGTGCAATGGCATGATCTTGGCTCACTGCAGCCTCCACCCCTCAGGTTGAAGTGATTCTCCTGCCTCAGCCTCCTGAGTAGCTGAGATTACATGTGCCCACAACCATGCCTGGCTGATTTTGTATTTTTAGTAGAGATGAGATTTCACTATGTTGATCAGACTGCTCTCAAACTTCTGATCTCAGGTGATCCACCTGCCTCAGCCTCCCAAAGTGCTAGGATTACAGGCATGAGCCACCGCGCCCAGCCTTATATCGTATTCTTACTGTACCTTTTCTGTGTTTAGATACACAGCCACTTACCCTTGTGTGACACTTGCCTGCAGTAACATGCTATAAGGTTTGTGGCCTAGGAGCAGCAGCCCCCACCATATAGTCAAGGTGTGTAGTAGGCTGTCCTGGCTGGGTTTGTGTGGAGTGCAGTCCCGTTGTTAAGTGAAGCATGAGTGATGGCCGGATGCACGGTGTGCTTACGGTGGGCCCTCTCCTCAGGTGCCACATCCCGGTAGCTGGACATGCCCTCCTGGGCTTGGCCGATGCAAGTGGATCCATACAGCTGCTCCGCCTGGCAGAATCTGAGGTCAGTGACTTGCATTTGTTCTGTGGGGTAGCAGGGACCTGAATAGAGGGTTGGGTGGGGTGGCTGTGCTGATACAGATGTTTTTCTAGAACAATCTCTTTTCAATGGTGAACCATACGTAAGCGTTCTACGATAGCATGGAGTCTATCTTTAAGTTGTATTGGGTTCTACATCCAACTCCAGGAGGAAGTCACCTCATGTGTCAGCAGCAGAAGGGCTGAAGTGACAGGATGTCCATTTACCTGTTAGTGGATCTGGAAGTTCTCTAAGGAAAGCCTAGGCAAGCATTCTTGGATTGATGCTAGGACTGAGAGTAGCAGTGAGCGTCCTGTGTAAAGATGGCATTTCTCACTGATTATTGGGAAAGCATTTGAGTCCTGTGTGAATTTTTCTGGGTTTCTCACAGTGATCCTGAGCCATGCATTAGCAAAGTGACTTCATCTGATAGCTATGGGAGAGGGAACCAGGGGATGTCACATAGTTGGGTGAACTGAAAGCCCGAGACCACGCCGTCACTCTGATGCAGATGCTGTAGGTGGGGCTGGGCCACAGGTCAGATCAGCCCTGTGTTCATGGCAACCCAGGGCCTGTGTAGGAAGGCCCTTGCTTCAGGCAGCTCAGAGCAGTCGCCCTGTCTTAGAAAGGAGGGAAAGAGTGGCCACAGGAAAGCTGTGGGCCCAAGAGGAGGCATGAACCCAGGCAGGGCTTTGGTGTAGTAGCCTGCTGGGAGCAGGGCCAGGCTATTTAGGAAACGAAATTTATGTGGCTATGTGGAAAGTGGAAAGAGTAACCACGCTCTCGTGGCTACTTGCAGCTTCTGAAGTGGAAACCAGAGGAGTTTTCCCATTGTCTGTCTCAGGAGGTGAGTGTGCAGCAGCCCTGGAGGCCTGGAGTGGGGAACTGTACATGCCACTGTGTTCTGGAGCCTGCACAGGTGTCTCATAGCATCTAGGAGTGCAAGGACGGCAAGTGGGCATGAAAGGGTGGGAGACTGCGCCCCAGGATCAAGCCTGTGGGAAAGTCTTCCTCCAAGTGTGAGGAGTGTGGGCTCCAGTGTCCCCACATCTTCTTGGTGCCTGGCCTGTGGCAGGGTTTCAGGGTTAGGTGGAAGTGTGAGTCAGGGACTGATGCACTTCATCTACGTAGGGAGGAAATGAGGGAACTCTGATTTCCCTGCAGGAGGGAAAGGTCTTCTGGAGGCTCTAGGAGGCACTTCCCTTTGACAGAGTTTCTTCTTCTCCAGTAGAAGAGCGGCCACATGCTGGAGCCGTTGTCTAGCCTTGCCCTGGAGCAGCACTGTCTGGCTTTGTCCCTAGATTGGTCCACTGGGAAAACTGGAAGGTAAGGGCCAGGCTTGGGCAGGGTCCATGAGTCTTTCTCTGAGGATCACTTCCACTTACCATGCTAGAGAGCTCCAGCCACTTTTGGCCAGCCACGACTGTGCTCCCGAGACCTGACATGATCATTGCCAGTCCTAATCTAAAAAAAGCTCCCCCATTTTAGTTATATAGCAATAGTATTATCTAGAGAAGCCTATAAAGAGACTTGATCACAACCACTGCTGAGCTTGTCTCTTTGCCTGCAAGTCTCTTAAGGGGCGTGTCCACACCCCAGGACTTGTCTGGGAACCGGAAGAGGCTGACAAATGACGTTCAGCCAGGCTTCTCCATGGGTTTGCTGTGTCTAGGACCAGGGACCAGCCCTTGAAGATCATCAGCAGTGACTCCATCGGGCAGCTGCACCTGCTGATGGTGAATGAGACGGGGTCCAGACTGCAGAAAGTGGCCTCATGGCAGGCACATCAGTTCGAGGCCTGGATTGCTGCTTTCAATTACTGGCATACAGAAATTGTGTATTCAGGTCAGTATTCCTCCACTGGTCACCTCTCTGATGGAAGGCTTGCTGAGGGAGGGGTGCACGGATAGGGAGGCCTGCGCTGCAGCAGTGATTCCAGTGGTGTTGGGATCTTGAAGACCTTTTATGGAAGGTGTACTTTTTTTTTTGAGAATGTACTTTCTGGGACAAAGACTATAGTTGGTGCTCATCACTTAGCTGTGCTTTAGAGAGCAAAGTGTAGCTTGCCTCAGGCAGTACAGGGTCTTGGGTGGTGCTGGCCAGGGTGTTGGAGGAGCAGGCACCTGTAGGCAGAGCCGTCCTGCCTCCATCATGTGCTTGGTCTCAGGCCCTTCATGCTTTTACTGGAAGTCCAGTTTCGTTCTTTTTGCCTGATATCTGTGGATACAACAGTGATTTCGCTATGTTGGATTTTGGGTTTGTCTGCTCCCTTTTTGGATATAGTTTATCTTCCAGAAAAAAGGAAGCACGAGGGAAGTAAGATTCCTTTGCAGGTCTCGTGAATGGTTTGTATTTAGGGCATGTCGATGTGGAAGTGAGAAGTTAACATTCCAGGGAGGAGGTGGCTTTGGTCAGCTTCTCTTTCCCAGGGAGAGAACTCATGGCAGGTGGAAGGGCTGGTCTCTTAGAGAAGACAGAAGAGCTGCTGAATTTGTAAGTAGCTGAAGAAAAGATCTGACCCTTCCCTGCTGCTAACCATCCAGGCCAGTGTCTCATCTGGTTTGTTACAGCAGAGCAGCAAGTGGTGGTCCTGCCTTCATTCGTGACCAGTCTAGCCTCCGCACAGTAGCCAGAGGGAGCGTTTTAAAAACACACACACTGCATCGCACCTCACTCATTGTTAGAACCCTTCACAGTTCCTGTTTCGTTTAGGATAAAATCGGTAATACTGATGTGATCACCCAAGGCCTGTGGAGTCTGGTCCATGCCTGCCTTTCCAGCCTCATTTTGGCTCCTCTGCTCTTAGTCACCTTTTCCTGAAACAGTCCACATTCTCCTAGTCTGAGGGCTTTATCGTGGATGTCTACTTCATGGGTGAACTCTGCTTTTCTGGCATGCTCAGCTTACAGTCTTGTCCTTAAAAGACAGACGCAGAGCAGCGCCCTTCCACCCAGGCAGGTCTGGCCTCTGCCGTGGCTCTCACACCACCTCTGCTTGTCCCAGGCATGAGGATGTGCCTAAGGCGGGGTTCTTGTTTGTGTTGCTCATTGCCACAGCCTTGAACTGTCTGAGAGCCATAAAGATCTCATTTCTTGAGGTCTGCCCTTGGATTAGTTCTTCTGCCTTGAGCTAATTCAGAGCAGAGATGTGATAGGGCAATTATTTAATAATTCTGGACTAATTCATTCTTTCAACAAATACTATATGCCGAGCCCTATTCTAGGTGATTATGATACTTCAGCAAACAACACGGACAAAAGTCCTGCTTTCTTTTTTAAGTTTTATTTAAACTTATTTTTATGTTTGGATGGATGGATGGTAGATCGGTGGATGGATGGTGGGTATGTAGATGGATGGTGAATTGTTCGATGGATGGATGGTGAGTAGGTGGATGGATGGATTTTTGGGTGGTGGGTGGATGGATGGTGGATTGTTGGATGGATGGATGGTGGGTGGGCGGATGGATGGATTTTTGGGTGGTGGGTGGATGGTGGATTGTTGGATGGATGGATTTTTGGGGGGGTGGGTGGGTGGATGGATTTTTGGGTGGTGGGTGGATGGATGGATTTTTGGGTGGTGGGTGGATGGATGGATTTTTGGGTGGTGGGTAGATGGATGGATTTTTGGGTGGGTGGATGGATGGATTTTTGGGTGGTAGGTGGATGGATGGTGGGTGGGTGGATGGATGGATTTTTGGGTGGTGGTGGATGGATGGTAGGTGGGTGGATGGATGGATTTTTGGGTGGTGGGTGGATGGATCGTGGATTGTTGGGTGGATGGTGAGTGAGTGGATGGCTGGCTTGCTGGATGGATGGTGGATCATTGGATGGTAATAGGAGAATAGATGATGCGGGTTGGGTAGATGGTGGGGCTGGATGGAAGGTGGGTGGGAAGGCGGGTAGATGGATAGATGGATGGTGGGTGGATGAGTGAGTGGGTGGATGGATGGTGGATTTTTGGACAGCGTGGGGTGGTGTAGGGGGGTGGATAGATGGTGGGATGGGTGGAAGGTGGGTGAATAGTGGGTGCTGGATGATGAGGGGGTGAGTGATGTGGTCAGACCTAGACATTTTCCTTCTGTTCTTCTTCACTCTTTCGGGATCTGCTCTTGAGCTTCTGTTCCTTCAGGTGCCACCATTCACTCTATATCTGTGTTGCTTTTCTTTAAAGAGTGGTTGTGGTTCAGTGCAGCAAATCCTCTTTTCTCCCCATCCTTTTAGTTCCCCTAAAGCAAGTGCTTTAAGGTGACAGAGGGCACCTCCCACTCAGTTTTAAGGTGACAGAGGGCACCTTCCTTCAGGCGCCTGGTGTGGAGTCATGCTTGCTGCCTCTGTGTGTAGCTTCTGTTCAGGGCTCTGATCTGGCAACTCTTGTTCTTGGAAGCCGGGGCTTTAATCGCTGGGGCCCTTAGAGAAGGCAGTTTAGCTCCTGGGACTGGTAATGCCCTGTGTGTGATGGTTGCTGGTGCCTAACGCCCTTTAGAGCCCTTCAGTTTCCATTTCCTCTTTTCTGTTCCTGCAGGCTTATCCCGTCCGTCTTTCCCTCCTCCTTGAAGGCCCAGCTTCTAGTCTGTAGAGTTAGGGCGCAGCAATGACATTCCTGGGGAGTTGTTTCTGGGTGGATGGATGACAAGCCTGTTGAGGTGGCCTCCTTAGAACACCCCAGCAAAGCCACCCAGGGAACCTTCCTCACAAACATCAACGGCCTCGCTGAGGAAGGACATTGCCCGTCATTGGGCATGCTGATGCTTCTCTGTCTCCACACAGGGGGTGACGACGGCCTACTGAGGGGCTGGGACACCAGGGCACCTGGCAGATTTCTCTTCACCAGCATGAGGTCACTGCCCAAGGGCCAGCACTCGGTGCCCACACCAGCCTCCCGTTCCCTGACACCAACCCTCCCATTCCCTGGGTGCCCACACCAGCCCTTGTTCCCTGGGTGCCCACACCAGCCCTCGTTTCCTGGTACGTCCACGTGCTGGACACTGGCTCAGGTGCCACCTTTGCTTGCAGACACTCCATGGGTGTGTGCAGTATCCAGAGCAGCCCTCATCGGGAGCACGTCCTGGCCACAGGAAGGTGAGTCCCCATGAGGCCCATGGGCCCTTCTTGCCTCTTTTATTGCCTTTCCTCCTGGCACCTTTGCAGTATTTCGTCTGCCAGTGCTTTGCCAGACTGCAGGTATCTGGGTTTGGGAACGGGGACCTTGTCCTCGAGGGCTGGGTGGGACTGAGAGATGTTCTCTGCCACCCAGGGCTTTGTGGAACAGGTGAGCCTGAGCCGGGCTTTCCATGCATCCCCGCTGTGGTTGATTGATTTCAGCTATGACGAGCACATCCTCCTGTGGGACACACGAAACATGAAGCAGCCGTTGGCAGACACGCCCGTGCAGGGTGGGGTGTGGAGAATCAAGTGGCACCCTTTCCACCACCACCTCCTTCTGGCTGCCTGCATGCACAGTGGCTTTAAGATCCTCAACTGCCAAAAGGCAATGGGTGAGTGGGAACCTGTGGCGGCTGGGCCTCAGGGCCAGGGTGCCAGTTCCCTGCCCCCTTGCTCTACTGGGCCCTTCCCTCAGCTTTCACACACTCCCAGGGTCATGCCCTGGTCGTGGCTTGGTTGTGATCCATAACTGTCCTAGCTCCAGAATCTCTGTTTTGAGAACTCTGTTCTCTAACTAGTTTTCCCTGGTTTCCCAGCTCCGTTATTCTGGTGCCTTCTGCGTTTAAGCAGACCTCTGACCCCAGTGGGACCTCTGATCTGGAGGCTTGACCACCCGTCACTCCCATACCTGTCCAGTCTGTGCTCTCCCATGCTGCTCCTGTTGGGTTCAGCGGGGACTCTGTGGTCTCCTGTCCCTGTGTGCTCACACTCTGGGCAGAACCCAGTGTTGTTCTGTTGGGAACACACACCTCTGCTTCTGCCTGAGCCAGGGAGTGTGGCTGCTAGAATCAGCTGTCCACGTTCTGTTCCAGCAGGTTTCTGGGATTCCTGGTGATCTGTAATGTTTCTCTAGGCAGTAATCCCCTACTATCAGAACGGTTCACATTTCTTCTTTCTGCTCAAACCTCCAGGACCTCCTCTTCCCTCCTGACTCTCAGCTCTTGATCTCTCCTCTTTCTCCCCTTCCCTGTCCCCTCACTCCAAAAAGAACCAGTCACAAAACCACCTCGTCTTCCCACCTCTGCAGCGGTGGGTGAGCCACACGTGTTCCCAAGACCAGTTCCTTCTCTGCACTGGCATGCACTCAAGGACTTTGTCTCCACATCGTATCCTCTCTTTGCTGCATCTTTAGTTTTTCAGTTTCTCCATCTCTTCCACATTGTTTCTGTTAGTTCTGTGGATGTGCTTCATATATCTCATCTTTTTTTTTTTGCCTCAGCCTACCAAGTAGCTGGGATTACAGGTGCCTGCCACCATGCCTGGTTAATTTTTGTATTTTTTAGTAGAGACAGCATTTCACTGTGTTGGTCAGGCTGCTCTTGAACTCCCGACCTCATGTGATCTACCCACCTCAGCCTCCAAAAGTGCTGGGATTACAGGTGTGAGCCACTGCACCTGGCTGGCCTTTTTTATAACTTTATTTATTTATTTTTTTGAGATGGAGTCTCGCTCTGTCACCCAGGCTGGAGTGCAGTGGGGTGATTTTGGCTTGCTGCAACTTCCACCTCACAGCTTCAAAGGATTCTCCTGCCTCAGCCTCCCAAGTAGCTGGGACTACAAGCATGCACCACCATGAATGGCTTATTTTTGTATTTTTAGTAGTGATGGGGTTTCACTGTGTGGCCCAGGCTGCTCTCAAACTCCTGGCCTCATGTGATCCACCCACCCCGGCCTCCCAAAGTGCTGGAATTACAGGCATGAGCCATGCACCTGGCCTATACCTTTAATTAAAAAAAAAAAATTAGTGGATGGGTGCAGTGGCCCACACTTGCAATCACAGCACTTTGGGAGGGGTGGGAGGATTGCTTGAGCCCAGTTCAAAGCTAGCCTGGACAACATAGTGAGACCCCATGCACACAAAATATAGAAAAAACTACTCTGGCATGATGGTCCCAGCTATTTAGGAGCCTGAGGCAGGAAGGTTGAGCCTGGGAGGTCAAGACTAGAGTGACCTGTGATTGCACCACTGCATTCCAGCCTGCGCGACAAACTAAGACCCTGTTTTGAAAAAAAAAAGATGGAGGGAATGTTGGCCTGTTCCTTATCAGAAAGGGCCTCCCATTCTTTGGGCTCTGAACAGCGTCTTCCATCCACTCATTTGCTGTCTTTCCCTGGCTGTGGCTCTCCGGGGTCTTCCATCCACTCATTCGCTGTCTTTTCCCTGGCTGTGGCTCTCCGGGGTCTTCCATCCACTCATTCGCTTTTACCCTGGCTGTGGCTCTCCGAGGGCATAGACTCTGCCGTGCTACTTTTTCCAAAGCTGTAGAAGAGGTCCTGCTGGCCAGGAGCAGGTGTGTTGAGTGACTGCCGGATGAAAGACTAGTGAAGGTCCTGCCTGCCCTGTGATGCCATCTCCCAGGGACAGTAACGACAGCCTCCCCAGGGGCTTTCTTCCAAGGGTTGCTCCACACGTGCTGCCTGAGGGCCCCTGTGGCTGTCCCTCATTCAGCATCTCACTCCTCCTCGGGGCCACCTCTGCCAAGTTGAAGCCCTGGGCCTAGGGTTGGGCCTCCTGTGGCAGGTGTACAACCCTGGCACATTTTGTAATCCAGTGCCATCCTGTTCTGCCCTCAGCCCTTCTTCATCAGCACTTACCCTGGTTCTGATTCCCATCACTGCTGGCATCAATCCCTAGACTTCAGAGGTAGCGATGGCAGCCCTTTCAGAGCTCGAGTGGCCACGCAGCCTTGCAGCCCCGGCTCACCTTCCACTTGTTTCCGCGGCTTCCCCTGCCAGCCCTGGCCTTGCCTCCTAGACGCCAGATTGCCTGGGGTTTGGCTGAACCCCTTCATTTTCTCTCTCACTATGATGTCTGTTGCTGTGTGCTGTGGGAGGTGGTTGTGGCCTCTTTCCAGGGCCGCACTCTGCCCTCAGTTGCCACAGCAATTTCTATAAAGTGGCTCACGCCTGTAATCCCAGCAGTCTGGGAGGCCGAAGCCAGGCGGATCACGAGATCAGGAGATGGAGACCATCCTGGCCAACATGGTGAAACCCTGTCTCTACTAAAAATACAAACATTAGCTGGGTGTGGTGGCCCATGCCTGTAATCCCAGCTACTGGGCAGGCTGAGGCATGACAGTCGCTTGAACCCAGGAGCCGAGGTTGCAGTGAGCTGAGATCGAGCCACTGCACTCCAGCCTGGCAGAAGAGCGAGACTGTCTCAAAAAAAAAAAAGAAAGAAACTGTTCACTTGACCTTATCAGTGGCTCCTTTCCAAGCCACAGTCCAGACTCTGAAACAGGGCATGCAGTACCCTGCTTGCTTCAGGCCCTCCAGCCATGCCATCACTCACTGACAGTGCCATGGCCTCCTGTGTGTGGTTCCCTGTGTGAGCTGTGGATTTTTCTCACTTCTGTGCTGTACATGTGCTCCCTGTTCCTCAGACATCCCCTTCCTTCCCAGCTGGCTGACTCCTTTTTCTTTTGGCTTAAGTGTTAACTGAGGTCTGTGTCTCTCTCAGGCTTTTGCTGTATTGCCCAACCTCAAGTGTGGTTCTGTAGCCCTGCCTGATGCTTCTCTTGGAGGCATACATGTGTCCACTGCGAGATGATGGTCTGTTTCTTCTCCACCCTTCTGCCCAAGTCTTGCTGGTTCCTTTGCATGGCACAGCGGCTGCTCAGTAAACACTTGCTGACCTGTGAGGGGCTGTTCTTGGTGGAGTCTCCCTGTTAGGTGTGACACAATGGCAAGAGGCTCTGGGTGATGTTGTGTTTCCTGGGTTCTCTCCTCTCTCACTCCAGAGGAGAAGCAGGAGGCGACGGTCCTGGCATCTCACACATTGCCCAACTCGCTGGTGTATGGAGCTGACTGGTCCTGGCTGCTCTTCCATTCTCTGCAGCTGGCCCCCTCACGGCCGTGTCCTAGCAACCTGGGAACCAAGACAGCAGACCTGAAGGGTGCAAGCGAGTTGCCAGGACCCTCTTGTGAATGCATGGAGGATAACGATGGGGAGGGCTATGGAGTGAAGCCACTCACAGAGGACAGCAGGGAGAACGGCACCTGGCTTCAGGCTACAGCAACCACCATGCGTGACTGTGGCCAGAGCCCAGAAGAAGCAAACTCAGCCTTCAGCCTCCTGGCCACGTGCTCCTTCTATGACCATGCGCTCCACCTCTGGGAGTGGGAGGGGAACTGAGCTTGAGCTCATGAAGCCCCTTCCCACAGGAGGGAGGGAAACCTGGAGGGAGACTGTGAGTGAATGGCTAGGCTTACCTCATCGGAGATGCTTACCGCAGGTGACTGCACTGGTGGAATTGACAACCGTAGTCAGAAAAGCTGTTAGCTTCTCTTAAATAAACCTCTGTGCTGGGCCCCTGAAAATGGACTGGGTGATTCTTTCTGGCAGTGACTGGGGAAGAGACTGGGTTTCCAGCTTGCAAATTTGTTAGTTTCTCGGGCAGATTTCGACTTTCAGCCTTTTGTACTAGTTGAAGAAACTATTTATATTAAATGAAATTTTTGGAAAAACATGACTGTAATGTGTATAAAGTGAACATTAATGCTTCATCATGGCACAGAAGTGCTTGCATAGATGGAGCACAACCAGCCCCAAAATCCCAAATCCCAAAACCTTTGGAAAATCCGGCAGTGGAACTCATGACGGGTTGCATATATTATTAAAATTACAGTGATCTGTAATCCCAGCACTTTGGGAAAGGCTGAGGCAGGAGAACTGCCTGAGGCCTGGAGTTCAGGACCAGCCTGCGTAACTTAGCAAGACCCTGTCTCTGTAAAAAGTAAAAAAAAATAAATTAGCCAGGTTTGGTACATGTGCCTGTGGTCCAGACACTTGGGAGGCTGAGGCAGGAGGATTGTTGAGCTCAAGGAGGTTGAGGCTGCAGTGAGCCAGGGGCAACAAAGCAATGATGCTTATCTCTAAAAAATTAAATAATAAAAATATTGTATAAAGAATTGATTACAATCAGTTACAGATTTGTTCCTTCTCCCACAGCTTTACTTGACTAGCCTAAAAAATACATAGTATAAAACTACCTTTAACAAAATTGAATTTCATGTTTAGACTTGTATCCCATCCCCAAGATATCTCATTATATACAGGCAAATATTCTAAAATCTGAAATCCAAAACATTTCTGGTTCCAGAGTCTCAGGCTGGAGTGCAGTGGCTCAGTCTGGGCTCTATGCAACCTCCACCTCCCAGGATTAGGTCATTCTCCTGCCTCAGCCTCCCAAGCAGCTGGGATTACAGGTGTGCACCACAATGCCTGGCTAATTTTTCTATTTTTAGTACAGACGGGTTTCAGCATGTTGGCCAGGCTCCTGACCTCAGGTGATCTGCCCACCATGGTCTCCCAAAGTGCTAGGATTACAAGCATGAAACACTGCACCCAGCCCCAGGCATTTTGAGTAAGGACAGAACCTGTATTGGATCTCTGTGCAGATAAGCAAAAGGGAGTGTGTGTTCCGAGTTGCCTTGGGGGTCATCAATTTGAAATATGTGAAGTCAGTAGGGAACACTCATTACCAAACTCGCATGGATTAGCTCCCAAATACTGAACAGATGGTGACTCCAGGTGTGGGAACATGTGGGTAATACCCCTTTTGGGCACTGAGGAAGGAGAGCTAGGCAGATGCCTGGCACAATTAGTGCTTGAAGAATAATTTACTGCTGATTTATATTTCTTTCTATATACTTATATATAATCATATCTTAGTTTGTAGTCAGATGAATGTCTAGAGCAGACACGGTACAGAGCATGAATTAAGGGAAAAACAGCTATACATACATACATAATCATATCTTGTTTATAGTTATCAGAGGAATGTCTAGAGCAGACATGGTGCAGAGCAAGATTTAAGGGAAAAACAGCTATACATACATACATAATCATATCTTGTTTATAGTTATCAGAGGAATGTCTAGAGCAGACATGGTGCAGAGCATGAATTAAGGGAAAAACAGCTATACATACATACATAATCATATCTTGTTTATAGTTATCAGAGGAATGTCTAGAGCAGACATGGTGCAGAGCAAGATTTAAGGGAAAAACAGTTAGACCAGGACAAGAATGTATGGCCTGGCGGTAGTGCCTCTGCCTGAAAGCACATGTGCTACATAGCAGGCCGGCCAGGCGGCAGCGTTCAGTATCATGGCAGGCTTGGAGCAAGTCACTCCTGAAAAGGAGTTGCAGTACCTTGCATTCAGTTCTTGTGGAAGGCTGGCCTCAGGCCAGCAAGCGTGCGGGCATCGCAGGGCTTAAAACCCCACAGGTATAATTGCACGTAGGTGGCTGTATACCCCACCAGCCATGCTGCTGTGTACTGACTCAAAGCATCGTATAGAAATCACTGGAAGCTGCCAGCAGATGGCTGTAGACCCTGCCAGCTCTGTTGCTGCTATGCTGACTCAAAGCATCCTCCTATAGAAATCATTGGAAGCTGCTAGCAGATGGCTGTATACCCTGACAACTCTTTACTGTGCTGACTCAAAGCATCCTCCCATAGAATTCCTTAGAAGTAGCCTGCCCCTGGATAAGAAGTGTTGCACACTGCACCCCCTCCACTGTGCACTTGCCTCGGCGACCTAATGGGGGTGGACCCCTTGCTGCGCACTGCCCACTACCTAGCCTAGGTGACCTAATGGAGGTGGACCCCTTGCTGCGCACTGCCCACTACCTAGCCTAGGTGACCTAATGGAGGTGGACCCCTTGCTGCACACTGCCCACTACCTAGCCTAGGTGACCTAATGGAGGTGGACCCCTTGTTTACTGCTTACATGACTGTCTTGACCCTATCACTATCCTTAAGATGACCCCACTCACTACCCTGACAGCTAACCTATACCCGATAAATACAGATGCTCCTGGACATTCGAGGCCTCGCCTGTCTCCGCTTCTAAGTACTTTCTTTGTCCTTTGGTGTCCTGCGTTTTACTTCTCGAATCCTGCATCTCAGCACAGCAATAGGGGACACCCCACGACCCTGTAGGCTGGACCCTACAGGAACAAACTGTGTGTTACATCTAACTCCTGCTGTGAAAGCTCTCACCTACCTGTCAAATCCTCAGCATTTACTGATGTGACATATTGGTGACTAGACGCAAAATGCAGGCACTTTTATCCCTTTATTTCTTATTTTCTGATGATACAACACAACTTGCTAATGTAATATTGTGACAAATCTTCCTAGGCCGCGCGCAGTGGCTCACACCTGTAATCCCAGAATTGTGGGAGGCGGAGGCGGTGGATCACTTAACCCCATGAATTCAAGACCAGTCTGGGCAGCACAGTGAGACCCCATCTCTAGATCTTTGTTCCCTGGGTGAACTGACACCAGGGTTGTCATCCGGCACAATCTGCCTTGTAAATTCTTTCTCCTGCAAGCTGAGTAATGTGGTCTTGCCCTTGGCAGGTTCCCAGAACCTTCTGGCTGGGAAGATGATTTCCAAAGAGGTTCACACTGCGCAGAGTCTGCATGAGAACACTGCCTAGGTCTCTGCACTGAAATCTGTCCTGTTGCACACTTTGCCATGACCTGAGGTCAAAAAACAAACACCGCAGAGCTGGCAAAGGCCTTTAATAGAAATGAGATGAGGGCAGGCCGCCCCTCCCCGGGAATGCCTCCAGCTCGCAGCCCCCACCCCCCGGCTAGCGCAGGAAGTTCCTAGGGTAAAGCTGGAAAAGCTTGCCCTCCTGTGTAGGCTCGAAGCCGTACTTTTCAAGGTTGTCAGGGTCAAAGGTACCGTCTTTGAAGTCCTTTTCGATGGCAGGCGCCACGGCTTCGCTGAAGAGCTGCGCGGCCGTCAGGGGCGTCTCCTCGCCTGCAGGCGCGCGGTAGTTCACGTAGGGCTTGAGCTTGAAGCCGGTCAGATCCGGGACGACGAACTCCGGGACCATCTCCTTGATCTGCACGAACCTCCAGCCGGCGGTGAGAAAGCCGGTGTACTTGGCGCCCCGGCCCTTGCGGCCCCTGAAGCTCCGCGGGCCCCGCTTGCTCGTCCACTTGCTCATCCGGTCCGCACCCCGGACCAGGCAGCGCGCCGCTGCGGCCAGGACGCCCATGCCGCGCCCTGCGGGAGGAGACAGCGGGGAGTCGCGGGCCTGTGAACCCGGCCGGCCCTGCCCCCGGCCACGCGCGGCGCCCGCTCCAATCCGACAGACCTGGACCGGAGAGCCTCACGCGCTCCACGCGGCCCCGCAACGGCTTTGGCACAGACCAAGCACCGACCCAGCTCCGACCTCGCTCCGCTTCCGGCCACCGCGTCGCAGCAAGAGCGGCTCCGATTGGCCATGGCCGCCGCGTCCAATAAGCGGCCTCAGTCTGGGAGGAGGAGTGGCCGGGGGAACTCGGCCAATGCGAGGAGCCCACCGGGTGGTGCAGGGCGAGGTGGCCACTGGCGCACGGAGAGGGGCGGGGCGTCGGGGGCCCAGGACGAGGAAGGCGGGGCGGAGCGCGCGGGGCGGGGCGAGGCGAAAGGGGCTGGTCTGGGCGTCGGCTCGCCGGTGAGTGGCTGCCCGTAGCGCCTCGGTCCTTGGCATCCCCATCACTCGCCACTGCCGGTGTTCCTCCGCCTAGTGGCTGGCGGTGCCCCGGGAGCCCGGTCCTCTTGAGGCCCTGAGGTGGCGTCAGGAGGTCGCGGAGGACGTGGGCGCTGGACCCGAGACGGTTTCTCTGAGCGGAGCCGGCAGCCGCGCGGGGAAAGCCCGGGACCTGCAGCCCGGCAGTGGTGTGGGAGGACTCGAGCCCTCGCGGTCCCCAGATTAATCAGTAATTTTGGACCCAGCACGTCCAGTTTGCGCGCTGACCCTGCCGGCCCGCTCACCCTCGCAGGCGGCCTTCCATCTGCCCACGCGGAAGTCGCCCCCCAGCCTCGTACCCTCACATACCGGATCGACCCCCTCCCCAGCTGCACCCCACACTCCGGATTCACCCCCTCCCCAGCTCCATCCTCACACCCCAATCCACCCCCCCAGCTGCACCCCCACTCCCCGATCCACCCCCTCCCCAGCTGCACCCTTACACCCCGACCCACTCCCCAGCTGCACCCGCACATCCCGGAACCGCCCCCTCCCCAGCTCCACCCTCACACCCCATCCACCCTCTCCCCAGCTGCACCCTCATACCCCATCCACCCCCTCCCCAGCTGCACCCCTACACCCCGACCCACTTCCTACCCAGCTGCACCCCCACACTCCGGATCCACCCCCTCCCCAGCTCCATCCTCACACCCCGATCCACCCCCTCCCCAGCTGCACTCCCACACCCCGATCCACCCCTCCTCAGCTGCACCCCTACACTCCGACCCACCCCCTCCCCAGCTGCACCTTTCACCCCATCCACCCCCTCCCCAGCTGCACCTTTCACCCCATCCACCCCCTCCCCAGCTGCACCCCTACACCCCGACCCACCCCCTCCTCAGCTGCACCCCCCACACCCCGGATCCACTCCCTCCGCAGCTGCACACCCCCACCCCGGATCCACCCCCACCTAGCTGCAGCCCCACACCCCAGATCCACCCCCTCCCCAGCTGCACTTCCACTCCCCATCCACCCCCTCCCCAGCTGCACCCACACACCCCATTCACCCCCACCTCACCTTTACCCTCTCCCCAGTTTCACCCCTTCCCCAGCGGTACCCCCACACCCCAATTCACCCCTCCCTGGCTCCACCCTCACATCCGGGATCCACACCCTCCCTAACTGCACCCCTACACCTTGGATCCACTCTCTCCCCAGCTGCACCCCCACACCCCAGATCCACCGCCTCTCCAGCCCCACCTCACACCCAGGATCCACCTTCTCCCCAGCAGCCCCCCCCCCACATCCCGGATTTACACCTCCCCAACTCCACCCCCTCCCCAGCTGCACCCCACTCCCCTTTGATGTCTGCACATCCTGATCCACCCCCATCCCAGCTGCACCCCTACACCCTGATCCACTCTTCCCAGCTGCACTTACAAACCTCGCATCCACCTCTTCCCCAGCTTCACCCCCTACCCAGGTACGTCTTCACACCCAGTCCACGCACCACCCCCAGAAGCACCTCCCCTCCGGAGGTGCTTATCTAGCAGGCTGCTCACATCCCAGCCGCACTGGGCCCAGCTCCCCCTGACCTGCTTGGAGCTGCCCCATCTGGCTGCAGTTCTGAGTTCCGGGACAGCCACGTGAGGGCTGTTTACAGAGGGAAGGAAGTGGCTCCACAGACCAGAGGACAGACGCTTCTCAAAAGACAGCTTCTTTTCCTGGAGAACAGACTTTTTCAGCAGGATTTTCCTTTCAGTGAAACATAATTTGACTTGAAAAGGAACCCAGGGAAAAGTTTGAGACCACAGCTGTCTTGGTGTGAGTGTGAGCCGGTAGAGGCGTGCCTTTGTTTGCCTCAGGCTGTCTGCTTTTCACCCCTGACTGTTCTGTTTTTAGCCATGGAGGAAGAGAAAGATGTCAGCCCAGAGGTACGTAAGTCAGGGGGCCAGATCGCTGGACTTCCCAGTTGTGGGGCATTTCTGGACCAAGAGAAGGGTCCTCTTAACATCTGCTCTGCCGAGCTCTTTGGCTTCTTGAAGCCTGAGGACTGTGGGAGTGGTGGTTCTGGCCCCTCTCTGCCTCCTGTCGCAGCTGCCAGGCTTCTTGGCTAGTGGGGGCCCATGGGCACTGCCTAAGGCCTTGTCTTTTTTTCCCCTAAGGTCACAATTGCTCCTTCCAGTTTCCCCTTAGGACTTTGCCTGCTGGTTTTGTTTAAAATCATTTTCTTAGTCTAACGTCTGTAGCCACATCACAAAGGCCTTTATTCCTAATCTGGAAAACTGGATCCATTAAAGCAGCAGTGAAAAGCTAGAAAAAGCTGAGATGCCCCACCTCAGGAGAGAGAGCTGTGTGACTGGGTCCCGGGCTGCCGTGGGAGAGCGAGCGAGCGAGCGTGTGACTGGGTCCTGGGCCGCCGTGGGAGAGCAAGAGTTGACTGGGTCCTGAGCTGCCGTGGGAGAGCGAGTGAGTGACTGGGTCCTGGGCTGCCGTGGGAGAGCAAGAGTTGACTGGGTCCTGAGCTGCCGTGGGAGAGCGAGTGAGTGACTGGGTCCTGGGCTGCCGTGGGAGAGCAAGAGTTGACTGGATCCTGGGCCGCCGTGGGAGAGCGAGAGTTGACGGTCCTGAGCCGCTGTGGGAGAGCCTTCCTTGGATCCTGTCTCAGAAGCTGAGCTCAGAGGGACTCACTTTGAGTCCTTAAGTGAAGGACATGGTCTCAGGTGCTTCTGTGCACCCCACCTGATTGAGAGTGAGCCCAGGGGTGCCCCTGTCCTGAAGCACAAACTGCCAGCGTTTATATTTGCCTTCTGAACAAAGTTCCGAGGGCTGAGCTTTCTGTGCACATTCTCATTCTGTCTTGGTGCAGAATTGTGTCTTTGAAATGCGTTTCTGAATGCCCTTCTGACTTCCCTGGGTTTTCCGGCACAGATGGCCTTATCTGAGTCCTGGCTCTCCACAGCGGATGGGTGGGTGGACGGGGGTAGGGCAGGTGGGCGGGGGGGTGGGGGGGCAGATGGGGAGGCTGCTTTAGGCCTTGGCTCTTCTGTTTTTTTTCTTTTTTTCTTTTTTTTTTTTGAGTCTCGAACTGTTGCCTGGGCTGGAGTGCAATGGTGTGATCTCAGCTCACTGTAACCTCCGCCTCCTGAGTTCACAGTATTCTACTGCCTCAGCCTCCCGAGTAGCTGGGATTACAGGCACACACCACCACACCTGGCTAATGTTTTGTATTTCTAGTAGAGACGGGGTTTGGTTTCACTATGTTGGTCAGACTGGTCTCAAACTCCTGCTTGTGATCCACCCGCCTTGGCCTCCCAAAGTGCTGGAATTACAGGCGTGAGCCACCGCACTGGGCCAGGCCTTGGCTCTTGTGTAGAAACTTGCAGGCTGAACAAGTCCTATCCAGTTCCTGGGTCCTGGGCGGCAGGTGTGGATGCCAGCAGGAACGGAGAGAGCTGCCCATCTGGCTGGCATCTTCTCGTTTTCTCTGACTTCTTGGGGAACCACCAGCGTCCTCTACTGCTGCCCACTCACCATCCTGCCCTCACCCTCTCTTCCTTCCCACAGACCTGGGCTCAGAAGTCCGGTTCCCCCCTCCCCACCTCCCCCGGACAGCAGCACACAGAGACTTCTTGGCCTCTGCCTCCTTGCTTGACGTGTAAACTGGTGTTGAATGTTCTCAGAATCCAGATGGCTCATTGGGGTCTTGAGCTCTGCTCGTCCTGGAGCCAAGAGGACACTGAGAGGGGGCCTTGTCCTCCCCTGTGGCCAGGCCTGCTCCCTGAGACCTGCATCCCAAGGATTGCATCGGCAGCATGTGGTGTGTTAGTGATGCCCGGGGTGGCCACTGGCCCTGCCTAGCTGTGTCCCAGTGACTAAGGAAGCCAGGTTGCCCTCTGAGTGCTTCTTAGCAGGGGCTCAGAGGGCCCCGGCATCCTTCCAGGGTGAGATCACTTCTTCCTGGAAGTCTCTGGGGCTGGGGACTTCTCCCCTCACTCCCAGCTCTTCTCCTGCTGCTCTGAGCAAGTCTGGGCTGGGAGGCCTGGCTGTGCCCGCCCATGCCCGCCTAACCCCATGTTCTTTGCTGCAGGCCGGCTTCTGCCTGGGTACCACCCTGCACTCGTGGGGGCTGCAGTTCACAGAGGAAGGTTCACCATCCACTATGGTAATCGCCTCACACTACTTTGGGGCTAGCTCGGGGGGCCATGGCCTTTTTTCACCTCTTCCCATCTCCAACCCCTGGCTCATTCCTGCTCAGGCCTGCAGTTGGGGCAGGGGCAGGCTTAGGGCTAGGGTTAGGGTTTCGGCCTTGCTGACAGGGGGCCCTGTCTCTACTCTCGGCAGCTGGCAGGGATTGCGGTTGGAGCCCTCCTGGCCCTGGCCTTGGGTGGCGTTGTCATCCTTTTCATGTTCAGAAGGCTTAGCCGATTTCGTGAGTATCCTGGATCTGATGCTGGCCCAAGGGCTTGGGGTAAAGCATGGGTGTCTTGGGATGTGTTTTGAACTCCTGGGAGGGGTCCTCAAGCCCCTGGTGGCTTTGGCTAGAATCTGATGGCCTGTCTGGGCTCAGGCTGAGCACATTGGGTCCAGGAAATCAAGTCTGTTCAGAGTCCTGTCCTGAGCAAGGCTTCAGTGGGAAGTGGGGAGGGTCCCCCTCTGTTGGAGACGAGCCTGTCCCCCCGGGCCCTGTTCCCTCATGCTGTCTGAGTATGGCCCGGTGCTGGCCAGGACGAGAATATGACTGTGGTGTGCCTGCCCGTCCAGGACCAGCCTCTGCCACGGCTCTACCTCAGGCCGCCCCTTCGCTCCCCTACAGGACAGGCACAGCCCACTCCTCAGTACAGGTTCCGGAAGAGAGACAAAGTGATGTTTTACGGCCGGAAGATCATGAGGAAGGTAGCTGGTGTTCTGGGCCCCACGCTGCGCACAGCTCCCCTGAGCAGGCCCCTGTGGGAGGGGCCTCTCCTGCTGTGGGCTCCCCAAGTCTGGGCAAGTCTTGGTGTGTGCTGCCCTCTCCCTAGCTCCACAGCCCTGCCACCAGGCTCAGGGTTTGGGGAACAGTATAAATCATCCCGAATGGTGTCTGCTTCCTCCAACTGAACCCAACACGTTTTACTCAGAAATACCCCTCACCATCTCAAACCTCAACTCCCTCTGACCTGGAGGGGCCGCTCTGGGAAGGTCTGTGGTAGACAGGGGCTGGAGGGGCAGGAAGGTCCTGTCTGCCCCCAGAGCGGAGGTT